ATGCACAAAATAAATAATATGCCTGGCAGAAATTAAATATTCTTATTTCCTAAAAAAAATTATCATGGGGTGAAAAACTATGCTTAATTTAATATAAATAGTGTTGATTTCATAAGGATTGTCATTGTTTTCTTTAAATATAATACATTTTATTTCACTTACCCCCCACGAAAACACGATTTCAGCCATATTTGCCGTCTTGTTTGCTTTTTATCGCCGAATCTCGCAAATATCATCCAGTTATTGTACTTTTACATAATCATAAATGGCTGAAGAAGATTTCAAAGAAGGTTTCATCCACTTTGGTAACAGTGCAGTGTATTTTACCTTCGATATTGTGTCCTTCGATATTCCGCCAAATTGCCGCCATTTTAATGGCTCGCCGCTTCTCTGTCTGATAAATGCAACTTCTTCGTTTCCATATATATTTAAATTACAGTATCCAAGAGTACTTCATTGTAGAATAGTCCCAATCCAAAAATAGGCAACATTTGTCCCATTAGGAAGGAAAAATCCTCCCGTAGGCCATTTAGGTTCAAAATAAAAAACAAATCATTTGAAAGTCACGCGCAATCTTCGCGAAAACTTCTCGTGGACACATGACAGGGGGGGGGTAAATATTTACACGAATATGTTCGCCACCACAGAAACATAAATAAATATATTGTATTTATTGTATTTTTATGATTTATGATAAAACTACGCAAATATTCACTGTTTTTATTATAAATCATAAAAATACAATAAATACAATATATTTAGTTATGTTTCTGTGGTGGCGAACATATTCGTGAAAATATTCAACCCCCCCCCCTGTCATGTGTCCACGAGAAGTTTTCGCGAGGATTGCGCGTGACTTTCAAATGATTTGTTTTTTTATTTTGAACCTAAATGGCCTACGGGAGGATTTTTCCTTCCTAATGGGACAAAGGTTGCCAATTTTTGGATTGGGACTATTCTACAATGAAGTACTATAGTACTATATAATAGCGATAAAAAGCAAACAAGACGGCAAAATATGGCTGAAATCGTGTTTTCGTGGGGGGTAAGTGAAATAAAATGTATTATATTTAAAGAAAACAATGACAATCCTTATGAAATCAACAATATTTATATTAAATTAAGCATAGTTTTTCACCCCATGATAATTTTTTTTAGGAAATAAGAATATTTAATTTCTGCCAGGCATATTAGTTATTTTGTGCATAATTAGCAATTTACCTGGGGTGGTGCATAGTCATTTTCTGATAAAATATTATACTTCGACAAATTTTTCCTTCCAATGACCACCCCTAAAAGCAACCCTTCTAAACACTATAAGCAATTCAGAAAGGCTATCGCTTTTCCTTTTTGGAAGTTAGAGCTATGTCGACACTGCCGTTTCAGGGCGGGGTCATTTTCAGGACTTTCGTCCCGGATTCAGGTTTTGGCACATATGCCATGTTGACCGCCATGGTCATTTTACCCTAAAACAGTTGAGATTACCTGTCCTAAATGAATCGCATACAAACTCATATACAGGTCCTAGACTATTTACTTTTTTATTTTACTTCTTCCAATCTAGATCACATAAACTTACCGAAATTCAATTACTTGGACGTCCATGAAGTGTGAATTATCTGCATACAGGTTGCGGATCTGTAAAAATACGGTGTGAAATATTGTTATTACAATATCATTATTCACGAAGAAATTTCCGGAAAGGAAAAGAATGTTAAATTTAATCAACCGTCAGTTCCCGTGCTAATGATTACATAAACTTTAGCTGCGATTTTTTTATGCATAAAATGAATTTGTATCCTAAGACAGTTATATTAAGCATTCGCATCCAATCTGTTTTACTATACGACTCGCTTTTTAATCATCAATTGCATCTCTTACGCCTCAATAGTCCAAACACTGGCTTTCCACAACCAGCTTGAAATGTAAGCGTTATATACGAGAAGTGATAATCTGTATTCTGCCGTTGTAAACAGAGCAACCGGCGACGTCTAAAACGTCCGTAGGATTTTAATTGTTCATTTCTGTTCGTTTTCTTGTTCACTCGAAACGTCAAAGTTGTTTCCATATATTCTCAATTTTCGCTTTGTTCAAAGAATGAAACTATATCGGTTTCGTGAAACTCGCGTAAAATTACGCGATACTTAGCATAAGCTATCGGTAAGTTCGACAACAGGTAACATAGTAATTCCACCAGTGACAGTGTCTGTGTGAACACAATTAAGTTGATGGCGTAGAAATTTGCATGCTATTGTTCCAATGTAAATACATCGAGTTGGCTGTGGCATTATGCAATAAGTCATTAATTACCGCTTGTTCCAGGGCATCTTTCAGTTGGTGAAAAATGAGGCTGTTCGTACGCAACAAGTCGTCTCCAAATGGTTGTTGGGGGAGCACCATACTAACTTTGAAGCTTCTTCCTGTGGAAAACCATGATAGAAATTAAATTAATCCCCTTACCAACGGTGGGAAGCGCCGTTCCAGACGAAAATGGGGAGAGTACTTATTTCGTTTGGCCTTTTACATTTGAGTAAAGGAATGCATCGCGATATCAAAATTCAAGAAGCGTGGATATGAATTCGTGGGTCATCCACCATGCATTAATCTCAAATATATGGGGTATTGTCGGGCCACGAAACGACTTTCCCTGCTGTTTCTTTTTAAAAATGAGTAACTCGTTTCATGGAATTAGAGCAATCAAAGGGAAATTTTCTTCCTTTACTCTTAAAATTCTTAAGGAAGAGAAAGACGTTGAAAAATCGTGAAATTCGTGAGACAAAGCAGTCACGGACGGCAAGAAGTAAAGCCAACTGCCAACCGAGGCCGCAAGTGTAATGGACCACACGTATAGCGTAAATGCGTAATTGTATACCACGTACATATTCGAGTTACCAAGGGATTGGCTTGGTGTTAAATACAATGTCATAAATTAATACTGATACAGTGCTGACTTACCGAGAATTTCTGGAATAGTTGGTTTTTGTGGTAAGTAAAAAATCGGAATAGGTTGATAAGCAGGAGTTCCCGATTGATTTGGTAAAGTCGTTGATGCTTTTATTGGTTGATTTGTGGTCGAACTATTAATTCGTTGCGTTGATTGTGTGGTGGGTCGGGGAACACTAGGTTGATGTATTGTAGAAATTGGATTAATCGCCGTGTTTGGGGAAATTGGTTGCTTTGGCACATTCGGTGGTGGACCTTGTGAACTAACAGAAATATTAGGAGAACTTTCTAAATTACCAGAACTACCAGCTGAAGCTTCAGATTTATCAGAACTACCGGGTGGACCTTCTGAATTACCCGAACTACTGGGTGGACCTTTTGAATTACCCGAACTACCAGGTGGACCTTCTGAATTACCCGAACTACTGGGTGGACCTTCTGAATTACCCGAACTACCGGGTGGACCTTCTGAATTACCAGAACTACCAGCTGAACCTTCAGAATTACCAGAACTACCGGGTGGACCTTCTGAATTACCAGAACTACCAGGTGGACCTTCTGAATTACCAGAACTACCAGCTGAACCTTCAGAATTACCGGATGGACCTTCTGAATTACCAGAACTACCGGGTGGACCTTCTGAATTACCAGAACTACCGGCTGAACTTTCAGATTTGCCAGAGCTGGCAGATGAACCGCCTGAAACTCCAGTACTACCAGATGGACCCCCTAAATTAGCAGAATTACCAAGTGGACCTTTAGAATTATCAGAACTACCAGGTGGAGCTACTGAATTACCAGAACTGCCAGCTGAACCTTCAGAATTACCAGAACTACCAGGTGGACCTTCAGAATTGTCAGAACTACCAGCTGAACTTTCCGATTTGCCAGAGCTGGCGGACGAACCGCCTGAAACTCCAGTACTACCAGATGGACCCCCTAAATTAGCAGAATTACCAAGTGTACCTTTAGAATTATCAGAACTACCAGGCGGACCGCCGGGTGGACCTTTAGAATTATCAGAACTACCAGGCGGACCGCCAGGTGGACCTTCTGTATTACCAGAACTGCCAGCTGAACTTTCAGAACTGCCAGGTGGACCTTCAGAATTGTTAGAGCTGGCAGATGAACCGCCTGAAACTCCAGAACTACCAGCTGAACTTTCAGAATCGCCTGAACTACCAGGTGAACTTTCAGAATTGCCTGAACTACCAGCTGAAGTTTTAGAATTGCCAGAATTGGCAGATGAACCGCCTGAAACGCCAGAACTACCAGGTGGGCCCCCTAAATTAGCAAGAGGACCTTTAGAATTATCAGAACTACCAGGCGGTCCGCCAACACTGGAACTACCAGGTGGACCTTCGGAATTACCAGAACTATCAGGTAAACCTCCTAGATTTCCAGGACGTGGACCTACAGAATTATCAGGACTACCAAGTGGACCTTCTGAATTATCAGAACTATCGGGCGAAACTCCTGAATTAACAGAGCCACCTGGTCGACCTCCAGAATTGCTGGAAATATTTGGATGACCTACAGCATTACCAGAAGTACCAGGTGGACCTCCGACGTTTTCAGAAGTACCAAATGAACCTATTGAATTATCATCAGTTCTAGATTGACCTGCTGAAGTGCCAGGTGGACCTGGTGAACTACCAGCTACATTACGTAAGTCTGGAAAATCACTAGTCGTACTGGGTGGATTTTGAAAATCGCCATGTATACCGCTTGATTCGAGGAAACTTCCTTCATACCGGCGTGGCAGTGTAGTTCTGAAACCAGGCCAAACTGTTTGATCCATGTTATTAGCGGAGCAAGCTATTTCTAAGTTTGAACTGTCATCTGAAAGAAAAAAAACAATTAAAGTTTAGTTTCGGAGGAGTTTTTAAATATTATAGTTTTTTTACTGTTTTAGGATACATGGTATTAATCGAAAAATCACTAGTAATTGACTAAGCCACTTGAGCTTTATATAGCTTTAGCGTTTGGTTAAAAAACTCACTTTGCATGATAATTTTTTTAATGTTTGCTTTAAATTTTCCTTGTATATTCCCAGCAGGTCGATATTTCGCCACTACGATCACGTTTCCTGATCCAGAAATTGCTCGACCGACACCAATTTGTGATGAAGATCGCCAAAGAAGACGTGTGAAGTTCTCTAAGAAAAGGTTTATTAAATTTGCAAAATATTTGGTGAGTATTCCTGTATTTATTTTCTCATTATCTTTCAACACGATAACTCAAAAATATTTTAAAAAATTACTAGAGATGATAATGATTGTGGAAGCTGAGCCCCTGAAGAAAAATAGACCGAATTTTTGTTGCATTTGGGAAATGTCGCAGTGGAAAATTAAAAAAACATTTTGTGTTGTTGTAAAATTCCACTTCACCTATGTACGGAGCGCACTAACCCAAAAATAACGCAATTGTTGTTGTTGTTGTTAAGGGGATTGTGTTTCCATGTGGGTAAAGTATAGTTCGAACATTGCATAATGGATAGACAGCATTCAGTTTCGACTCTTGTTTTGCCCAATGGGAATAGAAAAATTAATGGAAAAATTTAGTGTTGATGAAGTGGCTGCCAATATATTTTAGCAGTCTATGTCAAAGCATTTACCATACGTGCTTGGTCATGATTACTTGAAAATCTATTTTCTCAATCGACGATATAAGCGCAATCGACGATATACTTGCAAACCTCGTTGCAAACGACGGTTTCAAGGTAAATGAATGGCGATTCAAAGAAGATCTAAGCAACGCAACGCAAGAAATGAAAGAAATCAACATTCCTCAGGGAATACCAAAAGATAAAAGTATTCGGTATCACATGGAACAACAGTCATTATGTGTTGAAATACAAAGTTGTTCCTGACATCCTGAAATTCCAACCAGTAAAGATAACCAAAAGAAGCATTCTTAATCAAATAGCGCGTATCTATACGATCCCATAGGATTTGTATCAGCTTTTCTTAACAGAGCAAAGAATGGGGTCCAGAAATGTGCGGCAAAGGGTATCAATTAGGTGACCTTCAGAAATTCTAAATTCAGTCAAAGTTTTCTGAGAGAGTGTTTTCCTGTCTAGAGTTTACTCCCCGACCAAACGGTTCCGCCGCCAATGCAATTATTTAAATGAGCTTGTTTTGCCCATTGTCATATTGTTGTCGCTATATTCGTAAGATCGCTTTTATCGTGGACTCAAAATACCAATTCATAGAGTCTGCGTCGCAAGCTTGCTTTAAAAGACTTAAATGATATAATTTCATTGGACAAACCTGTGTCGTTAGAAAGATCATTTTGTATATAGTTATGTTTTTCGCTCTCCGCGTACCAGAATTCCACTGCACGAGGACATGATGTTGAAAGATCAACAATCCTATCAACGTATATATTTTCGTCCTTATTCACTGTTTCTGACACAGTAGAGATATTCATCGATGCCAGCTCGTCTGCTCGATTTTGAGCCTCTTTTGCTAATTCGGCAGACCACCGCAATCTCGGTACATCGTGAAGACGTCGCTTATAATTATGTGCACATAAGCATTCGCGTAAAAATGTTACTGGTGTGTTTATGCTGCCATTTCTTGTATATTCAATTGTTTCATTTTTATAACTTTCATCTTTTTTGTTCACCTCCAACTTGTTATTTCTACCAGACCCATCAACTGAACCAGTCGTCTTTTTTACTCTTTTCGGACTCGTAACTTTGTTATATACCTCGATATTGTGCAAGTTCTTCAACCATTTATGAGATCTTGATAAGTGTTTTGGCCATATCACATGGCTCCTTTGAGGTAACGCTGTTTCGACAGTTAAAACGGAACATTAGACAAGAGTGAGATTGATTAAAATTAAATCATTAGCCCACTAGTATTAGCATGAGGCTCAGATTAGGAATGGGTTGACTGATCACTATAGCTACATGTCCTGCAATTGGCGATTCCAGCTTTTAGTTTGTGCGTGCAGGGAATGGTGGGAAGAAAGGTATCAACCGTATCATATTGCTGATTATGCTAAAAAATAAAAATGGTGTCCGTGTAAACACGGAGTGATAGCTTATACTTGTAAATATTGAAATATTTCGGTTGTTTCGGCAGTTTTTATTGACATTTTTCAGCATAATCGGCAATATGTTACCTTACTTCCCATCATCCCCTGCACGCATAAACTAAAAGCTGGAATTGCCTATTTAAATATAGATTCGCGATCAGACGACAGTCGTCCTTTAAGTGCGTGCAAGATTCAATGAAAATTGACATAGGTTTGTGACGATAGATATTAATGTTATATAAAATATCATATTTATGCCTGCATGATCATTTGCACTAGACGATCTTCATATAAGTTACCCGCGTCAATTGACTACTGAACTGCCGTTCTTTGAGAAATTCCTTACATTTCTACTTAAAGTTTATCTTGTTAAACAGAATGTATCGTAATAACTGTTATGTTTATAAATTTAGTTGCATAAGACTTAAGTTAATACAAAAGATTTACATCGTGGGGCACTATAAATTAAAGTAAAATTTAAGTATATTCACCTGTTGTCAGCAGTAAAATATATAGAAAGCAATAAATTAACATTATCGACCACTGTGATTAAGCCATCCATGAGACTATCAGTTCAGTTATCCAGGAAAATAATATATTAATACTTCCCAAAGCTTTTGTGCGCTTTTATTACTTTAAAATCGCGCATTTAAAACTGACTAAACGCACATATGAACAGCAGCACGACTAGTCAAGATGTTCGGGTGGCTTGTTTCACAAAGGCAGGTTTTTGACTCCAGTATAAAGTAAAGAGTGTTTGTGGGGGACTTTCTTTTATTAAAAATACTGGTGGATAACAAACAAGCAGTAATTCGAACGTCGCAACTGTCATTCAACTCACTCAGGATGAATTAAGTTAATTCAATATCCCCTTATTTTCGCGCAAGCATTGTCTGGAACCAGAACGCGCCACTATGGTTCTTCGTGTGAAGAATATCCAACGTACTTATTCTTGATTAGCCCTTACTACGCCAATGGCGGAAGTCGGTTGGTCTCTTTAATTAAAGGCACAGTTCAGCCTTTTGAACGATGTTTTTTAAGGCGCATTTTAGCCCTTTTAATTGAAAAAAACTAACTAGGAAAATCAATTAAGCATAATTCAAAATCAGTAAACTCGATGTTTTTTAACAGTAAAAATGTTTTTAAATGTTAAAAACATTGAGTTTGGTGATCTTGAATTATGCTTAATTGATTTTCCTAGTTAGTTTTTTCAATTAAAAGAGCTGAAATGCGCCTTAAAACCATCGTTCAAAAGGCTGAACTGTGCCTTTAAAGTCTATACTGGGCAAGTTTAGTACTCGCTTTAGCTATTCTCAATCCCTGCACGTAACAAACGATGTGTTGGTGTTTCAGCATTCACACATATGGCACGATTTAATAGTTCGTTCACGTAGTTATTTTCACCGATTTCGCACAAAGAAATCGTGATAATTTAAGCTAATTATAGTACTAACATTAGAAATCCTGGACCATGTATATAGGGGTTTGCAACAGCGAGCACATTTAGGACCCGGTTATGTGGAAACGAAAGTTTCAGGCATAAACAGACACACTACACCATGCACACTTGTATTCAGTCTCAAAATATAGTTGTCTCAAAATGTCATACTTAATTTTAAGAATTTTTTATCACTCATGCACGTCCTGAAAATATCTGAACACACCCTTATAATAATGTGTAACCTCAAAACAGGCTACAATTGATATTCAAAAATGCCAGAACCAACATACACAGCACAGCACCCATGCAGGGAAATTTGGGGGCCCAGGACAAGATTTGACTTGGGGTCCCTCGTCATTTCATGCATTTCGGGGCACTCGGCAAAATTTTGAAATCTGAGGTCCCTGAATAATCGTGCATTATGGAAGTCTGTTGACAGTTATATCTATGTATATTTCACTGTATTTTTTTATTTGAGCTCCCCTTTAACTGGGGCCCCAGGGCAAACTGCCCCCTCCACCCCTTTGGGCGGCCTTGACAGCACCTGCAGTTACGACTATCTATGACAACATAGTTTCATAATCACATGTTTGGAGTAAAGAAATATTTTCGTCTTGGCAAATGAAAGGTGGCTTAGGCGTAACAAACCTCTAGAGGAGTTCCAGGGGCATGCAGCCACATAAAATTTTGTAATCTAGGCTCTCTAAAAGGGCATTTCCTGCAATATTCGGGACATTGTATAGAATTCTCAAGATTATCACTCCACTTTCAAAGCTCATAAAGAGAACTTTAATTGGTGGGAGACTTTGTTCATGTGATGAACTAAGCTTAATATTAGTGCGGACGTTCGATAATTTGGCAGTTATCATTTCGAATTTTTAGTTCAGCTTTTCTGCTCATTAGTTGCCTCATTTTCTCGCCAATTAACAGCTTAGCAGAGCAATTTTTATCACTGCACATTTTACTTTTATCACTGCACAAATTGGTTATCACTGCACCGCTAAAATTAGATATGAAAAGTGTAGTTATAGATACATTAAGCTGCATGTTCTGTTGATTGGTCTAGTCATTTACAGCCGTTTATATTAGCTCGAAGCCATGAATCGTGGGAGGATTTTGAAACGATTTCATAAGTAGAACAGTCATCGACATATTTGTACAACGGAATGTTAGTTTGCAAATCGTTTATCATCACAAGGAAGAGGGGTCCAAGTTTTGTACCTTGTGGAACCCCTGCATTTATTTGTCGCCATGAAGATTTATTCTGGCCAGTGGAGTAGCCAGGAGTTTAGGTTTTTGTCGAGTGTCGAGGGTCCAATGTCGAGGGTGAGGGTAAAAAGTCGAGGGTGAGGGTAAAAAGTCGAGGGTCATAAAAAAGTCGAGGGTCATAAAGAAATTTGCGGGCAAAATAACTTGTTTAATGTTGTGACATGGACTTATCATATATATGTATGCAGAACTACATTAACTTTTAAAAGATACTACCTTGCGTAAATTTTCTAAGCGATTATTTTGTAAGCCCCTTCACGCTCGCAAGTTAACATGTTTATGTCGAATATGAGAACGGTTTCTTTGCTTTCTTATCAAATTAACGTAACAGCATAGATTATCGGGCAGCTGTAATCGTCAAGCCAGTAATGGCAATACATTAAGGCAAAATATATTACCAATAGCAAGTTATGATAAAAAAAACTCTGCTAGATCGGAGCGCGGTTAGTGCGGTGAAGACATGCCACTGTTTCAACTAGAAACCAATTAACGCTAAATGATTCAGTCACTGATATTACTCGTCTCACGGCCAAACATTGTCATTGACCAACCTCGCAAGCACACCGCTGCGCCGGGACCGGAAAACTTTTGCTTGATGCGAGATTGAACATTGCCATTGGCCTGTTTATGAAATTATACAACGTTTAGAAACTCTTTTAAGACTTCAGTTAAGTTAATATTGATAATAAATGCTCTTTGACTTTGCTTTCAATGAAAAAATTCTGCCTTTATATCTAAAAATGCCTTAATCAAAAGTGGCCTGGGGACATTACAGGCTGGAAGAAAAAACTCTTTTATCGTTAGTAGTTGTCTTAGTTGTCGTAAAAACAGTGTCTAATAGCTCTAATATATAGCTCTAATATATCTAACAAATACAATTATATACCTATTTAGACAAAAAATTAACTACTACTTTAAGTCGAGATTAAGGTCGAGGAAGATAGCTTTTTACAGAATGAATTATACGTTACCGAATTGCGTATCTCTTCAGGTATCTGATTCCATAGTTTAGGGCCTGTTCATATGATCCCGCTTACCGGGACGTCTCGCTTACCGAGACGAATATTTCCGTGCGTTCATATGGAGTATTTCGTCCCGCTTGCCGAGTGAAATTACATTGTAGTTCTATAATTAATAGCGTATGCAAAACTTCTACATTTCAGTCAAGCAACACAAATACTTGGCGATTTTAGTGTTTTTCTTCGTTTATTTACAAGAAAAAGTATTGCTTCAGGTGGTTATTTAATACTTGTTTACAAAACAAACATAAAACCAAGTAAAAAGTGTTAAATTAAACCGGCAAGACTTGTTTCACTTCATCCCGGTAAGCGGGCTGGCGTGTTCATATGGAAAAATTTTCATCCCGCCTACCTATGATCTCGGCAAATTCAAACGAGATCTCGGCAAGTGGGCCAGCTCGCTTTCTCATATGAACACAATGCAAAATTTTATAGGAAAATAGATAGGCGGCGAGATCATCGGTAAGCGAGACGTCACGGTAAGCGGGATCATATGAACAGGCCCTTAGCCCCACTATATTGGAAGCTTTTTTTTAATTAATTAAGGATTCCGTTTTTGGTCTTGGAATATAAAACCTTGTTGAAGAACCTTTCAGATTATGGTCATGAATGGTATTCAGATTTTGGAAAGCTTCGCATAGTCGTTGGGGGGCTAAACCATTAACTGTCTTGTACATGAGCCTGGCTTTCATTTGTGCCCTACGCTCTTCAAGTGTTACCCAGCCTAGAGATTTTCGTGCCAAAATAGACTGACCATGTTCATTTTTTAAGTTCATGATCAACCTAGCCGCTCTGTTTTGGAATTTCTGTAGACGTTCGCTTAGGCCTTTATTAAGTGTATCCCATACTTCACAGCAATAATCAAAATAAGGTTGGATTAGTAAGGCATTATAAACTTTTATCAAAATGTCTTGTTCGACATACTCCCTCATTTTTCTAATAGCCCCAATACCTGATGATATTTTACTGCTAATATGGTCAATGTGTTTTTCCCAACTCAAGTTTTCGTCTAATTCAACTCCAAGAGCTTTGGTATTTTTAACTTTTTTAATCAATTGATTATTTATTTTAACTCCTTGATGGGTATCAATATTACTTATTTTATGTCGTGTTCCAATTAAAACATACTCGGTTTTCACTATATTTAGACTTAGTTTATTTGCATAAAGCCATTTCTGAATATTCCTCATGTCTACGCTCGCCCTCTCTTCCGCCTCACTAATTGTTCTGCCTACTGCCGTTAAGTTAGTATCATCAGCAAACATTCTTGGAGTTGTGCGTTCTAGGCAGCTTGGCAAATCATTTATATACATAATAAATAAGAGAGGGCCGAGTATACTTCCCTGAGGAATGCCACAAATGATTTCTTTCTCCACCGAGAGTATACTGGCCAATTGACAACTTTGAGTTCGGTGCGTCAAATAGCAACGTAAAAGATTTAATGCTTTCCTTTGGAAACCATACATTTCAAACTTACTTAACAGTATTTCGTGGTCGACTGTATCGAATGCTTTTTTAGGTCAAGAAAAACAACTAAGTTATACAGCCCACGGTCCATGTTGGTATACCATTCGTTCGTACAATCCAATAATGTAGTAGTTGTGGAATGATAAGGTCTGAAACCAAATTGGTGTTTTGAGAAAAGATTATTCTGGTTAAGATACTCATACATTTGATCATACATAATTCTTTCCATAAGTTTACTTACTACAGGAAGGATTGATATCGGTCTATAGTTGTCCAACATGGACCGCTGACCTTTCTTAAACAATGGAATAACCCTTGCAGCTTTCCAATCAGAAGGAAATTGATCCGAGTCAGTTGACATATTAA